TCATTCAGCCATTTTCCTTATGAGCAGAGTGTGTACCTTACAATGTGTAAGTTAAAGAGTAGGTAAGTGTAACCAGCTGCTCTTGTAGTTTCTCTCTTCATTCCCATTAAAAGTTGCGTCGCACTATCTACAATTGGTAAATTAATAGTAGTGTTCTTATGCAAATATTGCAAGTGGTTTGGTTGAGTGACTTGTATTCAATCATTTACTAGAACCCGAGTACGGCAAGTTCAAAAAGTGTAAAGGTCGGCACACCGTCATCTTGAGGGATCGTGAAGCGGAGACAAGCTCCTTCGTGTGTACGCATAGGACCCATGTTGCAGGGAGAGTAAGCAAGCTGCTGCACTCGAAGAGGATATTGGTTCATTTCTTTGTTATGGCGGGAACAGTTTGCAAGAGCAGTGCTCACGATGCGACCATAAAAACTAGGCTTTGATAGATTGTACTGGCATAATTTTTGGCACAATTTATCAATACGGGCACACTTTTGATCGATTTTCCGGAAAAAGCTCTGCGAACATAATTTGCACTTTTGGCCAGTTTTGCTGCACAAATTTGTCATTTATTGATCATGCAACCAATTGCTTTGGCCCTAGAGCAGTGTTACAGGCACATTTAAGAAACAAAACCAATTTTTTTGTCTGCTTATTGTCACATTCATGGAACCTGAGTCCCACAGGAAATAACCCAGGTCTCTTTCCATACACTCAACGCATCCGCATATCCAGCTCATTTACCCAAGATGGCGACTGCGACAGCGGGTGCATACAGCTATAGTGATGAGGAGGTTACACCAGGTACAGTACATTCATCTCTCGCAGGACAGTCATAGCCAGGGAATTTATAATGAATTATGCACTAATAAAATTTCTATTTGTAAATAGGGTAAATGTGTTTGCAGTTTTCTCGTTTGTTACACATTCACAGCTTGTTAACACACTAAAAATCAGGACTTACTCGCAAGATATACTATCCTCCAGGTAAAGTTCGTTGATGGTAATATTAATCACCATGCCTTGTGGAATAGGAACCGAAGAAATACAATCTGTATTATTTGGGTAATCATTAGGATATCCGGGACTTCTGAGTGTATTTTCAATCACTGGACCACACCCTGCATGCAACAAATCAAAATAATAAAAAGACAGAGTTGATATCGACTTAATAGTTTTATTCCTTGACTCTGTTTGTTTCCATTGGCCATAAAAAGTCGCATTGAGGGAGTGGTTAATTAAGATATTTATTTTAATACTTATTTATTAATATTTATTTATTTCTCTAACTTTTTTGTCTCAGTTTCAAAAACCTATAAGTGCCTATCAAGGCACTTCAAGGCACC